ACTCCCCCCCCCCCCCCCCCATTTCCCTATTTTCTGAAGACTAACACTTTGCCCCAACACTGATTGTCCTATGTAACCTGCGTGACACTGGGGTACCCCCCCCCTTTCCCTATTTTCTGACGACTAGAACTACTGTGTCCAACTTTGATTGTGCCATGTTACCTGCGTGACACGGAATAAATGAGGACTCCCCGCACGCACTCCAACTTTTTTTTTTTTTTTAGCTGATGTGCTACATCTGCGCGACGAACGCGGGCAACACGATCCTGAGGGCCCACTACGCCTTCATGGCGCACCGCAACGGCATGCCCATCAGGCAGCTGGCCACCGCCACCAACACCGACTCGAGCGAGGCCGTGGCGGCGGATGACACGATCGACGCCAAGCAGGTGTGTCTCACGTGTGTGCGTCTTTGTTATTACATCGACCGCGCTAACCGGCTGACCAATGAAAAGACGTCAGTCTCAGTGCGGTTGAAAGCACAAAACACTTCTAAATGCCATTAACTGGGACCCCGCGAGGGGACGGCATGGGCGAGGCTAGCTATTCTACGGATCAAAGACAGAGACGGTAGTGTGTGTGGTGTTTTCTTGATTAGCATCGGCCGTGCTAACTGGTCGCTAGTAGAAACACGAAACGGTAAGGGTTGTATACCGACCGTATGGGTGTAGTTGTGTGCATTGCGTGCGTACTCTTTTTGGAATGATGGATACAAGCAATCAAAGAGACATACCCGTTGGAGATATAGCCACATCAGTCGTGTGTAGCGTTGTTGACCTCGCTAGTCGGCTCATGTGCGCGTGTGTGTTGCTCGAATTGGCATCGGTGATCGCGCTGACTGACCGGCTGCCCAATGAAAGTGCGTTCGTAGCGGAACCCCCCCCCCCCCCGCCAAGATATGTGTTTGTCCGCGGGATCCCTCGGTATTTGTGTGTTTATTATTAGCATCGACCGCGCTAACCAGCTGACCAATGAACAGACGTCATTGTCGGCGGGTAAAAATCAAGGTCCCTCGAAGTGTGTGTCTGTGCTTGTCTTTATTGTTGGCATCGACCGCGCTAACCGGCTGCCCATTAACAGTATGTTGGTCTTGTTGCGGGGGAAAAAAATCCCGAACGAACACACTTTCAAATCAAAGGGTTCTACCGACGGATGTGTATATGTGTGTGTGTGTGTGAATGTGCTTCTTTATTTAGCATCAACGGTTCTACCCGAATGCCTTCCGAACGGACGTTTGTCTTGTAGCAGTATAAAAACACGAATACCCTCTGTTGTTATCCCCCCCCCCCCCCCCCGGGAGGGCAAAGGGCTAACGACTACCGCATGGCCCAAAATGAGTACCCCCCCCCCCCCCCCGGGGGGGGGCGGGGGAAAATTGAAAAAAAAAACCCGGCCCCCGGGGGGGGGGAAACCCCCCTGTTTTTTTTCCCTTCGGCCCTTCGGAAGGGAATTTCCCCCCAAAAAGGGCCCCGGGGAAAAAAAAAAAAAAAAAAGGGGGGACGCCCCATTTTTTTAATTAACCCCCCCGGGGGGCCGGAAAAATTTTTTTGAAAAAGGTTTTTTTTTGAACCCCCCCCGAACCGGGGGACAATT